TGCTGCTTGTTCTCTGTGATTCTATTCCTTTGTTAAAGTTTCAGTCTCATGTAGTGTCTTTTGCAATAGTTCTTTTAACAGAATCTGACCTTCTTTTCTGATTTTTTTTTATTTTGAGTGGGAGGTAGATTATGGACTCATGTGTTTTTTGGTTACTGGGTGTGTGTATTTCCAGCAAGTTGAAACCATAGTTTTTCAAACATGGCTGTGCAAGCAGATGCCGAGAGAGAAACTTGTTTAAGGAGAAGTGTGGGTGTTCATACATTTTTGAGGAAAGGGTTGGGTTGGATAATAAGATGTTTTTAGAAGATGGATTATTGCATCTTGGAAATATCTTAAGGACCTATTTTATGGGATATGTTGAAAGGATGGAAAGAAGACATCTATACAGATTTGTAGCTTGCACTTGTGTGATCCATATATTACACTGCATTGAACTATGTGGTTCTTTTTCTATAGTTCGTGATATCAATTTTGAGGAAATGCAGGGCAGTCCTATGGAACTTCACTATATAAAGAAAAGGCAATGTAGTCCTTTCCCTCAACATTTCTAGCTTCAGAGAGAATTAATTGTCAAACTAGATGTTTCTGAAGGAGCAGGGATGGTACTGCAATAAAGATTGATGGTCAGATACTGAATTCTGGCAGATGAAATCTCTCCAGAAAAAGTGAGAAGTTGCCCTCGTATCCTCCAGGAAGCTGCTCTTCATGAGTAGATTCTAGAAAATGTGATTTTTGTGATCAGCTCAATGAGTTGAGCAGTTGTGAGTTAAAGGATTCCAACCAAGTAAAAGGGTGATTAGAACATCAATTTTGCATAGTTACTAGGAGTACAGATGGATTTGAAATAAGACTCTGAAATTAGTTACAAAAAGGCTTTCCATTGGAAGATCTTGCTTTTTTGAATTATTTTTTACAAAGAGATAGTATGTTGGAATGTGCACCTGCAGGAACAGTAAGGGAGATTTTTGGTAACACAGAGTTTTCCCAGAGATAAAAGTTGTGGCCCAGGATTGTGGGACCCCTGTTTTAAGAGAGGGTGAGAAGTTACTAAAATTGTCTATATTTGTTATGAAGGGAGAAATCATTTTTTTACATATATCTTTTTTTACTTTACTATATTCTTATTTTTTCTCTTTTCTATTCCTTTTCCAATGTTTTTTCCTTTAATGCACTTTCTATTTTTTTATATTCTTTTATATCAAATTCTTTGATATCATTTTTAATTTGTATTAGTTCTTATATTTTTAATTGCAGTGTTTAATAAAAATATTATTTACAAATTGTTTTCATATACCTGCATGATGGCATTTTCTAAGAAATGTAATGCTGTCCTATAGGAGTTCCTTTGTTTTAAAAGTCATAAAATCTAAGACGTATGACCGATGTCTTAGATGTACTTAGTTATAGTAGGAAGCTGCCTATTATGGCATGTGACTGATCCGCTGTATGAGACTTGCACAGACTAGAAGCTGAGAAGAATTTTGGGTGGAAATTAATTGAGAGAAGCTTAGTATAAAATGTGGGTGGACAATCATGACTTACATTTCCTGCTGGGATTGTTTTACACTCAAATCTAGGCTTCCTGAAACAAATTAAACACATTTGGTTTCAGATTTCTCTTTCACCTGTTTTCCACATATAAAACTATTTCCAGAGAATTTTGCTTTCCCATTTTCTGGAAAACTTGTCAAAAATTCATTTTTAGCGGGATTTGTAAATATCCTTACTCTCTAAAGCTTAACAAAAATATGCTTCTTTGCAGCTTACTGTCCTTTTTAGCAGATATAACCGAGTGAGTCCAGAGGTATTTCATAAGAAGAATACTCCTCTCCTCTGCTCACAATAGAATACCCTAGGCTTGAAATTTTGTGCCTGGACAAGCTAGAACTACGCTGATTAAAGTCTGACCTAAGCGTAGTACACAAAATTGTCTGCTACAACGTCCTACTGGTCAATGACTACTTCAGCTTCAACCGCAATAATACACGGGCAAACAATAGATACAAACTCAAGGTAAACCGCTCCAAACTCGATCACAGAAAATATGACTTCAGCAACTGAGTGGTCAGTGCCTGGAATGCACTACCCGACTCTGTTGTTACATCCTCAAACCCCAATAACTTTAACCTTAAACTGTTTAGCGGGGACTTCACCCCTTTTCTAAGAGATCTGTAAGGGGGCATGCATAAGCGCACCAGTGTACCTACCATCCCTGTCCTATTGTCCCCATTTATTTGTACCCATTTCCTGTGTCCATGTTTATACTTATACTGTACATGTTTAATAAACTAAATAAATATAAATAAATAAATAAAGATGCAATAAGTTACGGGAGCTAGAATTGATTAGAATGAATTTACATAAACAAACTAAGTATTAGTTATGCTTTGAACCATTTTGCTATATACCAGGAATTGTCTGGAACCCTGAAACCTCCTTAGAGAAGAGCCTATCAGTCTTAAGCCTACCCTTTGCTGAAAGGGTATGAACTAAATAAGGGCAAGCCTCACCTTAAGAAATAATTTGGCTCAACTTTCCTAACTGGCTACATTCCAGATGTTGAAATTCAACAACTGAATACACCCCCCCCCCTCCACACACACCCTACTGTTATGCTGCAGGCTTGGTTGATTTCTTTGATTAAAGAATTAGCACTTCACTAAACCTAGCATTGTACAGAAAGTTTTGTGCTCTGGTTGCACGGACAAGCATTATTTCTAGAGGTGCCATAAAACCTATCAGGACTGCAAGTGATTACAATGTCGGATTAGTAAAGTAATCAGATAGACTAGAATCTGACATTATTAAGGCATGTGGTCTGCTGTCATTTTGGAAACTATGGGAGAAGGAACTACAAATTGACAAATTGAAAAAGTTGGAAGGAAGCAGAAGCAGTGCTGAGGAATGGGCAAGCTTTTCGGTCTGAGGGAGTCCTGCTGGGAGATAACCAGAGTTGGTGTAAACCTTACCGTAAGTAGAGATAGAAACTTTAAGCAATCAGCATAATCTGACCAGAATAAATCCCATCAGGTAGTACTAGAAGCTAGAAGTAATTTAAGACTGAAAGCAATTGCTATTTGTATCTGGCTGGGCGGTAAAGGCTAGGAAAATTGGATCTATGATATTGATTTAGCTGAGGAAGAATTTCCAGGAAACCAGAACTATGTTTAAGCATGGATTTATACGAACTAGATGAATAAAATTTAAATATGAAGTATATGAGTTCAATTACTTACATGAGGAAAATGAAACTGTTGCTTATCATATGGAATGTTGAGGTTGCTAAATTCAGTTCTTAAATTGAAATTTGTTTCTTAAACAATGTGGCAGAGAATGTTATGGTCCTCGTTCTGTGTGTTCATTATAGCATGAGTTTTAAAACACTGTTTCAACAGTATTTGGAAATACTAGATAAGGATACTGTTTTAAAAATATTGTACATATTTTTGGGCAAGATTTGTCTTTGCCGCAATTCTGTCATTTTGTGATTCTATAACTTTTATAGTTTTATAGTTTTATAGTTTTTTATAGTTTTATAACATACATGTATTAAATATCTGTGTAGTACAGATATGTATTTGATGCAGTACTACATCAAGGAGAGGAAAGGAAGTATATTTATCATTAAATTTATATGCTGCTTAACCCCAATCTTCATTCTGACTTTAATTCAATAAGTTTATTTTGTATTAGATGTGAGAAAATGGCAAATAAATGATTTTAAAGAAAATTTTGTGTTCATCCAGACCTTGGGGGATTTATGGAACTGATGTTTTGTTTTGTTTTTCATTTTAACTTGATTATTATGTTCTTCCAACCTGTTATATTTGTGTGTGTGTGTGTGTTTGTGTGTGTGTTGCAAGGGAAAACTGAATTGTTCTTTCCTGTGAAGTTTTTGTTCATTTTATTGACTACCCATAATATTCTGTTGTAATGAGTTTGGCCTTCTTACATTTAATTTAAGTTCTATTTTTACTATGTTCCTCCACTTTCATTACTAGATCTTGCAGATTATTTGCATTTTAAACTATTCAAGAGTGTCATCATCATAGTGTAGGTTATTGATGTTTTCAAACTCACCCTCTTGCACTTAATTCTCTTTATGTAAATATTCTACATAGTTTGAATAAATAAGTGGAATGCATACGGCTTAATCTCTTTTACTGACCTGGTGCCAATCTGTTTGACAATTTTCCATCCAGACTATGGCTTCCTATCCTTAGGATAATTCCCATATCCACCTCTAGTACTAGTAAATGTCATAGAGATTTGTGTTATAAACTTTCCACCAAAGTTTCCACACTAGCAGCTATTCTTATAGTTTTCCTCAGATATGGATACCTGACATCTTTTCCCAAAAACATATCAAAGACTGTCCAATCCAAAGCAACCTTTGCATTGTTTACAGATATAATTTTATGGAATTAATACCAAGGAGAAAATACAGGTAGCTTATTGTTGGAATGACAATTAGATCACAACAATACAAGCAGTCATCTTAAAAGCATATTTCTGTAAAGAATAATATGGACTATAAAGTATGGTCTACTGAAAGCTTAGTTTACTCTTATTTGTTGTTCTGGTGTTTAGTTTTCAGCATTTTTTACTAGTTCCACTTTTCTGTTTTTTTCCCTTTCCATAGTTGTTTTGATCTTTAGTTAAGAATATCTGTGGACTACATTTACACCTAGCCTTTGTTTAAGTATAAATGCTTCCATTGAAAGAAATCGCCCTTGTAATTTGAAAAATACAAAACTTTGGTTTGGGTTAGTTATTACAGGTAATAGACATTTGGTGAAAAAAACACTTGGCAGAATATTTTCTTGGACTCTCAGGCAGAAAACAATAAAGTGCAACCTAATTTCTTAAAAAGTCTGAGCTAGCTGTCATGGCATAGCATGCTTATAGTAATAACAGGCTGACAAAACTGATAAAGTGTACGTATTGCTGTAAACACAGCTCTGTAATGTACTTTCTCCTTCATTCATATTTTGCAGCCCACATATCATCTTCCTGTCACAGAGCACATTATCTGGAGAAAGCAACCTCTGCGGAACACGACTGTGCCATGAAATTGCTCATGCCTGGTTTGGTTTGGCCATAGGGGCACGTGACTGGACAGAAGAATGGCTTAGTGAAGGATTTGCTACTCACTTAGAAGATGCAATTTGGTCAGCAGCACAAAAGGTACAGTTAGAATAATCCGTAATAAAAAAACAAGGGCAACCATTAGTTTATGCGGAGAGTGAGCAACTATGCTCCCTTTATAACTTGTTATAACCATGTGGGCTCAGGAATTCTGTGAGTCAAATTGTAAAAGGGCCATAGTTGTTACTATTGGTTTACACAATAATAATATACTCTAGAGTCCTAAAGTATTTATTTTATTGGATTAGGCTACAAAAAATACCTTACATTAATTGCAGATCATACATCTAGACAGGTGTTCCCAATCTTTGCAAGATGTGAGTTTGAGTTTGAGTTTATTGGTTTTGTATGCTGCCCACTCCCGAAGGACTCCGGGCGGCTTACAATAAAAGGGGAAGGGGAAGGGGAATAAATAAGACAGTACAAAATTTAAAATACAACAACATTCACAATTAAAGTGGGGCTGAATACTTCAACGGCCCCAGGCCTGCTGGAACAGCCAGAACTTAGTAGCTTTACGGAACGCCGGGAGGGTAGTAAGGGTCCGGATCTCAACGGAGAGGTCGTTCCAGAGGGCTGGAGCTGCAACAGAGAAGGCCCTCCCCCGCGGGGTCGCCAGCCAGCATTGGCTGGCAGATGGAATCCGGAGGAGGCCAAGTCTGTGCGATCGAATTGATCTTTGGGAGGTAATTGGCAGGGTA